CAAATACTAGTTCTGAAAGCTTTATTCCATCCACATCATTTAGGTCAGCTCTACTCTGAGGAGGCAGCTCTTTCCCGGTCATATTTTGAGTACCTTTCTACCTGAGGGGCTCATCTTCCAGCACTACATTGGACAATGTTTCAGGGCTATTTATAAATTTTTCCAGTAATATATCAGACAGTGTTTCACTGCTATTCAAAAGGTTCTCACTGGCCAATTCTTTGGGAAGTGGATGGCCCCTTCCTTCTTCTGAGCCTGTCTTAGTCTGAATCTGTCCACCATGAGTGACCCTGCTGGTATTTGAAATACTGGTGGCACAGCCTCCATCCTCAAAGCAACACACAAGCCACCACAGTAGGACAAACTGACAGACAAGTGGTGGATGAGACAGAATAGAACTGCACTAAAGGCTTTACTTTTCAAGGAAGCCGACTGCCACATCTTTTTGCTGACCCCAGTTAGCAGCCGTATGCTTAACCACTGCACCACGAGGACCATAAACACTCTTTGTGAGTTTCCAGATGATTCTTATGTACAATCAGAATTGAGGGTCACTAGATAAAGGCTCGGAAGGAAGATTGGGCAATCTATTTCCATAGAGAGATAGCGCCTCGGAAACCCAAGGAGGGGTCCCTATGAGTCAGAAATGACTCAATGGCAGTGAGTTGTTTTTTTTTTGTTGTTGTTTTTGAGATAAAGGCTCTTAGTTTGAGGTCCACAGACCCCTTCAGAGAATACTATATGAACTCAGGTGGGAAAAAATTAAACTTTTATTTTCACTAAAGACTCTCTTTATTCTACTAAAATTTAGCACTTCCTCAATTAAGACTGCAACAAACAATAGTAACATTATCAGTACCGGTAACTTTGCACCATCAGAAAATCATAGTGCAGTTACTGCAGACTTGTCAAGGTATCATTCATGCTCAACACTATGTCAAAATTACAGTAGCTATGAGATGTGCTGCTAGACTGTGCCATTTAATGCCTTAATAAAAAGTAACACATATTACTATGTCACATAATTTTTAAAATATTTTGAGAATTATATGTTAATATAAGGGGAATTCTTTGTATAGTTATGAATTTTTTTTGGCATGGATTTCAAAACATTACTATGAAAAGTGGCCCTAAATCTTCACCAAACTGCCAAAAGGATCCATGAGCACCAAAAAAAAAAATAAAGTAAAATAAGGTTAAGTATTCTGCATTTAGAGGCTACTTGTCAGGAAAGAACCTTCAGGAGTGTTGATGAAGATCAAAGCCTTTGGAGTCATTTTGAATTATTGTGTGTAATGCTGATGTCTCAGTAATTAACTGTGAAAAAGTTTTAGCAGAAAGGAGGTGTATTGTAATGAAAGTATATTTACATATCAATTGTTCGTCCTTTATGAATTTCTCTAACAAAGCCATCATTTCTTTTTCTATCTTCACCATTTGTTTCACCACGAAATCTCTCTTTTGCCACTTACTTTAGTTGCCACAAATAATAGAAAATGTCAGTCTTTGCTTGCTAATTCAGTGCATTCAGACAAATTAGAGCATGTATCTTTTGGTAATTTTTTCCCCCAATCCTTAAATATATGATTTATAAGGCTTTTGCAGTGAGAATGAAAGGATTCACTTAAAATCGATTTCTGTAAGCCCTAATTATACAGTACATTTCATAATAAGCATTGCAAAATCTCAGTTTAGGAACAAAAAAAACTCCATTAGTAACAGATTGTCACTACAATGATGTGTGTGCCGAGTTTAATTCACAGATAAATTAACAGGAACCTTCAAAAGCAAGCAGAACTCTAATGTGAGCCTAGTATGTATCTAGTATTACTGTGATAGTTAAGAATTAAGCCCTCGCAATATTTTTTAGATGGTCTTGTTGCCTTTATATTTACGTTTTTCAAGGTGTTTCATCTAAATCTCGGGTTCATAGTCAACTGGTATCTACATTCTCTGAAACAGAGACACTGGCTGGTGATATTAGCTTATCTATATGTCTCCTCAACACAATTTCTTATTTAGAAAAGTTGGCCCTTGCTTAGAAACTGCCACAGTGAGTTGAATTATCCAATCCCAGTCATTAAAGGTGGCAGCCAAGCACTTGAGAATGATGTGGGAAAACTCCAGTGAGAGTGATAATTAAATGTGGAAAATGAAGGGCCACCTTCTTTCCTTCAGCTCACTGGGTTTGGCATCAGAGTAATTCCAAAACAGTGGGAGATATTCCACTCTCAGCATGACAATATCTAGGTGCACACACATAATTTCTATGAGTTCAAATGGGAATGCTATTTTAATTGTATTTAAAATGTTATCTTTGATTTGGTGTTTTCATTGTTTGCTGTCAAGTCCACGTGGACTTATAGTGACCTTATATAGGAAGTAAAAATGGTAGAAATTAATTCATAGACTAAAGGAAAATTTAAACGAGGAAGAAATAAGAAAAAGACATGCGTTGTTTTCTCAGAAGAAAAAAGGCAAGCATTATAGAAGAAAATCGTTGCCAGGAAAATTGAAAAGAACATTTAAATGTGTCTCTTCTTTCTATTTGACTGTAGAATCACAAAGTGAAAGTTTCATCTCAGCTTTCTTATCCATTTACTGTCATTTCTTAGTCATTATTATAACATTTCACTCCTGCTCAAGAGCTCAAGACAAATCATTTGGTGGAAGTTAGTTTCCAGGAAAAGGATTTTTTTTTCCAGACACATTAGCTTATCTAAACACTACTGAAGTAATATTTAGAAAATTATATCGCATATGGTTCTGATTTTTTATTACAAAGTTATACTGAATTGTTAAGGGCCTGAAATCATATTGCAATATTACAAAAAAAAAAAAAAAAAAAACCGAACTCACTGCCATGGAGTTGGATGCGACTCATAGCAACCCCTCCTTGGGTTTCCAAGGTGGTATCACTATGGAAGTAGATTGCCCAATCTTCAGAAGTAGATTGCCCAACTTTCCTTCTGGGGAGTGGCTGGTGGGTTTGAACTGCCAGCCTTCTGGTTAGCAGTCAAATGCCTTAGGCACTATGCCACCAGAGCGCCCATATTGCAATATGTTGTTGTTGTTGTTATGTGCCGTCGAGTCGGCCCCAACTCATAGCGACCCCTGCTTGAGTTTCCGAGGCAGTATCACTAAGGAAGTAGGATTGCCCAACCTTCCTTCAATATAGACAGGTATATATACTAGAAAATACTATTATTAGACAAGGGCATAGATGCTAAAATCTTAAATTCAAATTCTGGTTTCATCATATATCAGCTATGTAACCTTGGACAAGTTACTTTTATATTCAGTGTCTGTCAGTTGCCTCATCTGTGAAATAGGAAAAATAACATGATCAATCTCATAAGGTCATTGACTAGATTACATGAGATTAAAATACATAAAGCAGTGCTTGTCACAGAGTATTATATTATTGCTAATACATTTCCAGTATTATTTTATTGCATCTTCAGTATCTAGCATAGTTCTTAACATTGTAGACCAAATTTTAAAATATATTACTATTTGTTTTTATGGCTAACCATTTTTCTTGTCCATGTCATTCCTAGAAAAGCTTCCCCAAAAGATATGAGTCCTTTAAAAAACAAATAGCTCAGCATAGTTTTATACAGAGTTAATTGTATAATGTGAAAATAGAGATAATTGCCACATAAAGTCCAGAAAGTGAAAAATTCCTAATAAGCAGAAGCAACAGATCCTTGATACTTTTCCCTTCACATCTATAGGGAGTCTAGAAGAAAATATTTTAATTTGTTCTATGTGATATATGTTTCAAGATAAGAGAGAATTTGAAATAATTAAGGCAGTTGCCCTTGAATTAACTCCAGTTCATGGTAGTCCCATGTGTGATTTCACATGGTTGTCAATGGCTGACTTTTCAGAAGTAAAAGGTCAGGCCCTTCTTCTGAGGCATGTCTGGGTGGATCTGAACCTGCAGGCTTCCAGGTAATTGCTTAGTGTGTTAACTATGTGCATCACCCTGGGACTCCTTGAAACAATGAGAGCTGTCTAAGGAAAGCTTTCATGGGGTAGGGAATGGTGTGGTATGATATCTAAATTCCCTTTGTAAAATTTTGCGATTTAAACTATTCATCTTTAGAACACTTTTTGTTTTGAATAGCATTGTAGAAAATCTTTCCCCCAAAATAAATATCATATATACTGTCCCAAGCCTCAATCTCTACTTACCAAAAGCTTACGGAGGGTGGTAGGTAGGGAGAGATAGCAGGGAGAAAGAAGGAGACAGAGGGAGAAAAAATGAATGAGAAAGAAACCATTAATGATAACCCTAACCAGATTATTGAAGGAAAAAAGTACTGTTCTTAGGTTAAAACAGTTCCAGCAACATAAAGTCCACAAAGAAACAAAATCTGTTCTGTCACTGGAGTCACTATGAGTTAAAACTGACTCAACAACACCTAACAACGACAACAACAAGCCTCATTTTACTGTGATATTTGTAGGGGTTCTTTAAAACAAAACAAAACAGGCCCAAAAAACAAAAAAGACAGTTGATTCATTTAGAATTAAAGTTTTAAAATTATTTGGTAAACTATTTCCTACTGAAAACATATAAACTCTGTTAGACGATATTCTGCCTCAGGTTTATATTTCAAACGATTTATAGCCTGCAATTTCTTCCTGAGGTCATCACCTTCATGAATACTAGCCACATACAGGGAAAATCAACTCAATAAAATGAGTATTTCATTTCTCTTCCTTCTGCTTATGTAGATACTTCTTCCATCTACATGGCACCCATTTATAACAAAGCCTGGCATTGCGTGGATTTTTATGAGCTCTTGAGCATTTCTTTCTTTCTTTTTTTTTTTTTTTTTATCTTTCTATGCATCAGCAAAGCAACTGGCAGATTCTTTAATAAAATATATTATACATATTAATATTTATAAGCCTATGAATTGGATATTTAAATAAACATTCACCAACTTATGCCAATTCTCTTGTTTTAGACATTAAATCATACTTACATTGTCTGAAAAGTCAGCCTTTAGTTCAGCGACGCTTTGACACCAATATGCAGCTGTTTTCTCACTGATGAGCTCAATATTCAGGAAGGAGCTTTGTCCAGGGCCATACAGGGGGCCAGATGTGGTCCCCCGGATGATTCTGGGTGAAACATTTGTCACAATGTCCTGATGAAAGAATAAAGGTATTAGGTCTCCATGTGACAAAGAAAAACTATGATCTTTATAACGTGCTCATTTCCATGAGACAGTATTTTACCAAATCCCTTCTCAGATTTTTATAGAATAATTTTTCAAAATATATTTTAAATTATGGCTGAACATAAATTACTTCCAAATGAAAGGGCAAAATAAAACATCTGTTAGTTTAGCTAAATTACTTTCTAAAATACTAGGTTTAGCATAGTGAAAAAAATAAAAATATTTAAATTCATTTACACTGGTTTTGGTCATAAACATGTTAATTTGTTTGCAATTAAGGAATAACTAAAAACATGAAAGGTAAAATGCAAGAATATTATTTCACTCTATTAAATCTAAATATCTCTAATCAAATTTTAACTCCAATAAGAGTTAATGTTTGTAAATAAAATGTATTTTTTCCTAAAAATTAATTCCAATGTAAATCAGCCAGATATTAGTACTACTGGTTCATCAAACTTTAACACATACTCTAACAAAGTAACTTCATCCAATTACCTATAGAATTGTAACTGTAAATTCATATTCATTGAGAAGAAAGTCGCTTTTCCCAAGACAGAAGTGAGAATATCAATAACTTCCTGATAACTATAAACAGTAAACAGTGAAATTAACTTGCTTGTTAAGTGTAATTAACAATCCACAACTGCTTCTAAAGCTCTATTAACAAAGAAGAGTAACAGTCTTAGATTACTTAAAATTAAAAAGAAACAAAGAAGGAAAATGTTTCTTTTGCCAACTTCCAATTAAAATTAATTTTGAGTAAAGGTCATTTAGTTAAGGATTTATCAGAATTAGTCGTTTAAGTACCCCTCCTCACCATCTTGTCACTTTTAGTGAGATAACATGAGCCCCCATTAGTATATAGCAATTAAGGTCAATTTACATATTTTAATTAAGAACCACCCCATATAAAACAATTAGCGTAATAGGCATACTAACTGGATTTCATAACATTTGGACGTTTCTCCAACTAGATAGACAGGAAACCTTAATTAGCATTAATTAGTGCTGATCTGCATATGTTTGATAAGGCATACCCTTGCCACAAAAGATTATTTATTCCTGAATCTGCCAAATGCTACAGTTGCTGAGGATAAAAGGACTTTTCTTCACATTGCATGTTAATTTTTAGTAATTTACATTCACTTTTACATTCAAATTAGTATATTATAAAATAAATGGTATAAATGTTACAATAAGCCTCCTTAAATATGTACATTTGTACTTATAGGAATTGCACTGCTTAATTTTTTACTAATTAAGGCATTCTTCTTCTATTGTAATCATGCATAACATCACCAGCCTTACTCTGTTTGCTATTATGAAACTATGTTACACAATCTTAATGTGTAAAGTAACAACTAGATTCACTCTGGAAAGCTCAAGCCCAGTGGGTCAATTTCCATCTTGGCAATATTTGAAGGTGTTTGAAGGTGTGCTGCACATCCCAGCAAATGGCTTCTCTGTAGTCCACCCTGCATGTACTCTGATGTTGTCAGGAACTGAAGATAATTCTAGAAAATTTTCACTCAAAGGAGGCTAGTTTTCTTCTATGCTGCAATTTTCAAGAGTCACACTTGTTACTGTGAAATCTTCCTTTTTCTTTGCTCTACTCCTCATCAAAACATCCTTCACCCATATAGTTAAAACTAAGCCATAAGTTGTACTCTGCACTAGATAGCTTGGTCAAAGAGGTGAGAGCCTATTCAGTTGACCAAACATGTGTTCAGGCATATGTAATATCCATAAAAGAAGGGGAATTTTTTTAAAAATTACTGTTTTGTAATTTATTGGCCTGGAAGTAACACTTTCTTCTCATTCTACACATTTGGCACATGTCTGAGCAGTATGCCTGACCCTGTCCAGTCTTCAAGCCTTAGCTTAGACTTCACTTCATTTACAAACCCATTCGGACCTCACCAACTCCATCAAGTCTTAGTAAGATGCTCTGATTCATGCCACCATGGTAAAGCATACTTCATAAAAGTCACCTTCTTATCACTCTGTACTGTGATTGTCTGGTGTAAATTGAAAAATTTAAAAGTGGAGCCACTTGTTTCAGACATAAGAATTATGAGATCCACATCTATTCCCTGATAGCCAAAGGTCAGGATATAATCCATTTGCTCATGGGAAGTACATGTCAAGATACAAAAATTAAAATAAATAAATAAAATTGTTGCTTAGAAAAATGTATTAATGACTGCAATCATGTATAACCAAACTGACTGATGACACCTAGGTAGTAATTCACTCCCTCCTGCCCAAGTGGCCAGCCTTTACATTTCAAGGAACTTCAAGCTTTTTTGTTCTTTATGTATTTAGACTCATCTCTCTGCTTGAATGGTGGACTGCATTGTATTTTTACTTAGTGTTGTCAAGCTCAAGCTATATTCTTCTTCTTTTACTTTCATTCCTAACAGAATGTGTGGTTTTCTTCTTTGACATTTCTGGTATCAGAAGTGGGATTTCAAAGGTGCAATATCTTTGACAATCCCCTGGGCATCCGGACATGGGCACAGTAGCTGCTGAGTCCCTTTTAGCTCTCCAATTCTGTGAACTTATGGGAATCGTTTAAGGTAAAAAAAACCTTGAATCTGAGCTCAGCTGCCTTGCATTGACAGTTCTTTGAGTTTTATTGTGCATTTGTTTTCATTTTTGCAAGTAAAAGTTTGTTTTGTTGTAACCGGCAGTATAAAATAGGGAATGCCAGGTCTAAAGGAAATTTGGAGCCACCTTCTGGGACTCTGACTCACTATATGGACATAAATTATGGTCCATTATTGTGCATATTTTATCTGGCTGGTATAATCTCACTCAAGACAGTTTGGCCTCTCTAAGTTAACTTTTCTCCATAATACATTAAAGAACAGAAACAAACAAACAAACAAAAAAACCTCACTGCCATCAAGTCATTTACAACTCATAGTGACCTACTCCTTGGGTTTCTGAGGCAGTATCTCTATGTAAGTAGATTGCCCATTCTTCCTTCTGAGGAGTGGTTGGTGGATTTGAACCTCCAACCTTCTGGTTAGCAGTCTAATGCCTTACACACTACCCCACCAGAGCTCTAAAGAAGCTCTCAAAATAAACAGTCCCAGTAGGATACCTATTTATTGGTATATTTTGGCCTCTTAAAAACATTAAGATAGTAAAATTGCTTCCCTGCAGGATACTGTAAATTAGTAAAATAAAGAATTACAATGTCAAATTTCAGCTCTTACAGCTATTACTCCCCTACCAGCTGCTATCTCTTTATACCCTTCTTTGCCTTCCTACTGATTTGATAGCACTTCATTGGAAAAAGCAGCAAATTAATCCTTGCAGAAATGTCCTTGAAAATTCACCCCAGCAGTGATACTCAATATTGCCCTCATGATACTGAATATTTGCCCCATGGACACATCAGAATTAGGTAGCATTGACAAAGATTGTTCTAAACTCTGTGAGAACACCTAAAATTTTCCAAAGAATTTAAAATGCTTGTTGAAAATTACAGGAGCTCTGGTAGCATAGTGCCTAAGGCACTTGACTGCTAACCAGAAGGCTGGCAGTTGAAACCCACCAGCCACTCCTTGGAAGGAAGGTTGGGCAATCTACTTCTGTAGTGATACTGCCTGGAAACCCAAGGAGGGGTCACTATGAGTAGGGTCTGATAACAAAAACAATAACAAACAGTTGAAATCTACCAGCCTGGCCTTCCCACCTTGTATGAGACTGTTCACATGATTAGTGGCCCAGGGGCAGCCCAATTAAGGCTAGAACAGAAAGAATGGAAAGACTCCAAGAACCATTTATCCTTAAATAATAATATAATGGTCAATGAGCTGTTGAAAGACTATCAGACTATGAGTAAAAAAATGTTAATGACTATCCCAAAGGCCTTTCCTCCACTAATTGATTGGACTAAAATGCATTCTTGTGAACAAAATTAAGATGGAGATGTTTCTAACTATAAGACTCAACTGCTGTAGAAGTTTTTCAAATGCTCTGATCTCACTTTAACCCCACCTCGTCCCTTCAGTGCTTTCAATGCTCTTTTTATATCCAGTCTTAAAGCTGTGAACTCAGCTTTAGAAAAGCAACATCAATTAGACTAGGAGAGTATTGTCAAAGTAAACAACTTATTTTACAAACTTTACCAGACTCTTGAAGCTGAAAGAATTTGTAGGGCTAATAAATTAATGTCTCTCCAGTTGCAACAATTACTGTGCCCTGATCAACAGAAAAATGCCAATCCTTCCAATGGCCCAAAGATGAGTCTTTGTCACTATTATAAAAAAATGTGGCCATTGAAAAAATACATGCTATAAGGTTAAAAAGTAAACAAAAGACTAACATATACTCCCTTTAAAAATCCTACAGTCTGATTCAGAAGGAAGGGGCTCTGGGGACAAAACAGGGACTGTTCCTGTGGTAGCTCTTAAGCAGCGAGGAGAAACTACTTAATTTGTTAATAGAGGAAAGCTGAAAATTTTTAAGTGACATTAGAGTCAACCTATTTACACAAGCTTCTGCCCTGGGGTATTAAAACCTCAAAAGTAGTGGGAGTCACCAATCAGGAACAAACATTTATTCATTTTCAACCTGTTCTAAAACTTCTTGGTCCTACTAAAGATGTATATACCCTTTTTTGCTCAGTTCTGCTACACCTGTCAATCTATTGGGAAGAGATCTTTTTATCCAAATGGAAGTGTCATTTACAATTTAATGAAAAGGGGGAAATATTGATGAGTCTTTCTGATATCTATATGTCAACAGAGACAGGCTCTGAATTAGACAATATTCAAGAAGTCATTGGCTATACGCAAGCACGTGTCATGCTTCTTCAAAAATCAACCTAGGCTAGTCTTCTCCTTTTTGACACCTTTTACCTGGTTCCTGAACCCTCATGGCCCACCATATCCATAGAGGTAGGTAGAGTTTCTTCAGCTGAGCCAATTAAAAATCAAATAGATTTAAAT